CCACTCGCCGCGGCCACGGCCTTCTGCCTTTTTGCCGCGGGTCGCGGCCAGGCTGGTTGCGGCAGTGATCGGACCCGTGCCCTGGCAACAAACACCTCGCGCATTGGTGCGACTGGCTGCTGTCGCGCGGGCATCCTGGCCCAGCCTCGCTGCACGACCGCGTCTGGCACGCGCAGCAAAGCGGTGTGCCGCTCCAGCTGTGCGTGAAGAGGACGTTCTTGTTAGTTTTGTGCCTTGTACCCCTTGGGCTCTCGCTGCGGCCTGGGCTCTCAGGGCCCTCGCCGTTGCGGCGGCTGCGGCGGCTGAGGCGTGCGAGGCCCCGTCGCCCCCGTCTGCGGTGCTAGGGCGCTGGACGCGGGCGCGTCGCCATTGACCATGCTCCCCAGCCTGGCCGCCCGCGCCAGCACCAGCACCGCTTGTTCCTCGTGCTCGCGCTTCCAGAAGCGCGCGTCCTCGATCACGTTCCTGAGACGGCACTCGCAAGGCTTCTCGAGGTCATATGGTTTGCCCACCGGCGCCACGCCGCCAAGGGGGGCAGCGCCTGCGGTGGCTGCAGCCGCCACGGAAGCGCCCAGCACCCTACCGCGCTCGAGCCGCTCACGGCGGGCCCAGCCATCGGCCTGGTACTGGATGCCCCACGTCTCCTGGCCGTACTGCTGGCTGTACAGCTGCACCTGTTCACGATACTCGTTCAAAACCGATTGCGACATGGCCCGAGCATGATGCAACCCGTGCGCCGCACTCTAAAGGACTGCTCCCGCACCGAGCAGCTGCTCTCTCGGCATCAGGCCACCATCCGCTGTGAGCATCATGCCTGCTAGCTTCACGCGCTTGGAAATCCTGTGGCCGAAGCCTGCCCGCACCGAGGAGTCCACGTATGGGGGCCCAGAACCTTCGAGCAGAACGTCCGGGACTGACGCCTGCTCCAAAGTCAGCTCCACGCGCGGCGAAGGGTGACCGCCAGTGGTTGCCTCCACGTCCTCCGACGACATCTCGGTCACCTCCAAAATCGCCACTGTGGACATCTGATCCTCTTGAGGCCGCCGCGCGGCGTCACTGCGACCTGCAGCTGCTGTTTTGCCGGCCGCTGGCTCACTGCCGTTCGGGGCTGTAGCATCTGCAGCTGCCTCACCGCGTCCTCGCGCTGCCTCCCTGCCGCTGCTCGTTCCTGCGAGCCCGAGGCTATGCGAGCGGCCAGGCCGACTACCCCCCCCTTGATGCGAAGGGCGAGGCTCGGCAAATGGCCGCCGATGACCCAAACCGTCCATCAACGTAGACAAGGCGGCCGAGAGGGCTGCCAGGATCGCACCAACCAGCAAGACGAACGTGCACCGTGGCGAGGAGGACGCATTGCCGCCTTCTGGGCGGTGGGGCAACGCCGTCCAGTTCGCCAAGGCATCGCAGTCATTGAAGGTGTCGGCCTCCTCGGGGGTGGGCTCAACCATAATGTGAAGTCACCCTCGCTGCTTGGCAGACTCGCCGACCGAACCGACGCAGCTGGAACTGGTCACAGCAGGATTGGAGGTAAGAGTATGGAACGAGTATACTTTGGAGCGAGGTGCAGTGTAAGAAGCCAACTTCGCTATTGAGCCAAAATGATCATACTGAGAAGGCCTTCGCACTTCACACTCACCCCGCCCGCCCAACCCGCTCCCCTCCGACGCTGTGAACTCCGCAGCGAGCAGCGTCCACCGTTCTTGAGCAGCGGTGAGGAAGATTGCATGAACACCATAAATTCGATGGTTTCGAACTGGAGCTCTAAGACGGAGGATGCGCGGCAACGGTGCAAGGCCCACCTGCTTGAGAGATGTGTCTGAATGTGAACCCGTGTCGGCTCGCAAGCACAGGGATGCAAGGGTACCCTGGGGAAGCACCCCAAGAGCGTGGATGAGAGCAGGAAGAGCCGAGAAGAGCCGAAAAGTAGCTCTTGCACCCTACGACCGCATACATAGCTCGCCGACTTCCGCTTCCGAGAGGTGCTAAAATGTCGTAAATGTGCAATTCTGCCCCTCCCCCCGTCACCCTCCCTGTGCGCCAACAATCCCGTGTGCTGGAAGCTTCCAAGGTCGCCAAATCTGACCGCAAGGGGGGCCCGAGAAGCGACCCTGGAAGGGACGAAGATAGCTCCCAGAGAGCCCCGATTCAGCCCATCAATGGCACGCGATGGCAACGAACTGGGTCCAACAAGCCACGTCTGTACCCCGAACAGGATTCCCACAGCTCCCCGCACGGTGGCTCAATAGAACAAGCACCACTCAGCAGAGCCGCGCGGGCGACGAGAAACCCTGGGCTGGCGGGGCAAGCGAAGCGATATTATAACATAATGGCAGTCAGTGGTGTTGCACGCACCTGCTAGGAAAAAAGATCTAGGCTGTCTGCGGGTTCCCAATATAATTCTCCAAGTTTGCTGCATCCCATGGTTGCTTCATGCCCACAAGATGGCTTCTCAATATTTCATCGAATCGCAACCTGCGGCAACCCCATCGGTGACCCACCACCTGTGGTGTCGTATGAGCCTGGGCACGCACTTGCCACTCGTACCAGTTATTTCCCTGGGAGCCTCTTGGGGCCTCTTGGAGGCTCGTGTGCTCTTCGGGGGGGCTCTTGGGGATTCCTCTCGCTTCGCAGGTTGCGCGTCCAGAAAGCGAGCATTATGGAGCTTATTCTGGGTCACTGGAGCACCTCTGAAAAGCTTTTTGGTGGCTTCTTGGACTATCTCAACTGCCTTTGGGCAGCCTGAGACTTTCTGAAACTGATGGGCACTCTGACACCTTCTGAAACTGACGGGGCCCACTTGGGGCCCTCTACTGCTGCCTTGGGGGTCTCACCGGCCATCATCAGGCCGTTTTTGTCTTTCTGCAAGTCAGTACTGGCGCCACGATCCACCAGATCCTCTCTAAAAACCGACCACTTTGGTCAACACTGTTACTGCGCAACCTACGTGGTATGAGACTCCATCTGGCACGCCAGTCCAGACTGTAAGAATAGGCGCGCCATCCAAAGCCAAGCAAGCATACAGTAGCCGGTCAAGCAGCAAACAACTTTATGAGCATCGTTGAACCGTCCAGTTTACCCCCCTAGATACAAGAATCCTAAACCACCCCTTCGTCCAGACAGGATTTCCAGGCAAGCAAAGACTGTATAAAGCAGAGGTGAGGTGGACAGCACCTTGGCAGGCCACCTGTTGCGATCGGTATGCGTCCACTCTAGGGTAAGACTGTTGAGGACATTTGCCACACGAGACAAAGAGGGAATGCCAAGTAAGTAGACAACTCCGCCCAGGTCGCCAGGCGCCTTGGAGAAATGTCGCTTATCATCCATGCCTGGAACTCCCGCGCAACCCCTGCCGAGGCCAGACGTAGAGCACCACAGAAGAGATCAATACATAAATCGCTGGCGTCTGCCAGGTAAGATCAGACAACCTCTCGATCCCCCAAAGGTGAAGCATTATTTTCAACATCCTAGTTGGTATCGCCTGACGTCGAGCTCCGTCCAAGCAGAGATCACGTGCCAGCGTCAGCGCGAGATGCGATCGTGAGCAGATGGCGGGCGCGCGCCAAGGTCCCAAGCTCGCGCCTCGCTCAGAGCTGAGCACTAGGCACACCCCTGCGCACAGGCACGACCCTCCTTATCCTTCTCTCCGCCCCCACTCCCCCCTCATTCGACAAACGTGTCGCAACAACACCGTCACCAGTCGCAAGAACGAAGGCAGCCCAGCAAGACGAGTTCACTATGGCGGGATGGACAAGAAGGTCCATGATGCCAGTCTTCAAAGAAGGGATGTTCTACTTCCTCCGAAGTGAAGTGCACGCATCAAATTGCGGCTGGCAATTTACAATGCAAACGTTCGGACAGCTCCTGTACGTGTGAATCCCGCGCGCCAAGAAAAAACATTAACGCATGTCGACTGACGACAAGCGTGATAGTGCACAAATCAATATACGTTGGACAGGCGAGCTGTCAGCGAGCGTCACGCTTCGCTCTCCATAGTACTCTAGCGGCGGCGCTTCGGCCGCCCGTACAAAATGTCACCCTGCACAACAGGCGGGGAAGGGAGATGAGCCTGAGGAGGATGCAGCGTATCACAAACTACTTATTGTTCCTCATGCCAGCATGCAGCATCCATACATTGATCAACGCCGCAACGAAAAGACTTGCAAGAAAGTGTCGGGTGGGAAAGAAAGGTGGTCCGTGGTTTTACACCAACTGGCGACTCGACGTCCGTGGACTCGGGGAAAGACGTGCGGTCGTGAGCTCACCTGAAGATGGGAGAATCACCATCACCATCATCGCTGTGGAAGACGGCGGAGCACAGAACACACTACGAAGCGGATGTCGAAACGGAGCGCGCGCGCAAAGGCCGGCCGCTTGCTCTATGCTCGCGCCGAAGGCTGCGCCGCCTGCCCCGCGACAGGCCCGGCCGCCTCCAGGCGCCTTCTCGGCGCGCACCTCGAGCAGTTGGTGCTGCAGAACCCGCCCTTGCACTCACCGACGAAGACGCCATCGGGCCCGAGAAGTCTCTGGCGGTTGGCGCGACGGCGGGCGGCCACGGTCTCACTGGAAGAGCTCGCGGTGCTGGTTCCTGAGCTCGTGTGGCTCATCCTCCTCTCGGTGCCGGGCTCGGGCGAACGCAGTGGGCTCTGCATCGGGGCGCCTCCATTGCCGACCCCGCGGAGCTCGTCCCACGCCGTGGGTTCACGGACCTCGGTCACCAGGGTCGCCAAAACCTCGCCGTCGAGCGGTGGGACGGTCTCCAGAGTTTTTGGAGCCCGGTCTGGTGCCTCCGCGCCTTCGACCTTCGGCCTGGCAGCGCCCCCACGGACGCGATGCGCGATCGCCATCGTTGCGATAAAAAAGTCTTTGCCCTTCTCGCGGGTGCAAGGCCAATCTGCAACCATCAGTTCCGCCGCAAACGCACCGTTCTGTCTTGCTGCGAGCCCGACGGCTTGAGCCAAACTGGCTACGGACCATCATCAGGCCGTCTTGGGGGCTTCTTCAACCATCTTGCGGCCGTCTTGCGCGGTCTTGAGACACTTTGATGGGTGTGTTGGGTCGTCTTGGGGCCATCTGGAAGGCCTCTGGGGCCGTCTGTGGCTGTGAGAAAGCAGCCACAACGAAAGATAACGCGGACATCAGTCAAAAACCTATGGCTTTGGCCTCTTGAGGCCGTCGCCAGGGTCCTCTGGGAGCCCTCTTCAGCAACATTGCCCCCCCCACCCGACCACCTTAAGGCCGTGCTGGGTCACCTTGGGGCCGCCTTGGACCTCTTGGAGGTCATCTTCGACTGGTTTGGGCCGTCTTGGGCTCCCTGCTGGACTGGTGGTGCGTGGACGGGAGCGACCCCACGTTCTGGCTGCCCCGCGGACAACGCGCAGGGGGGGGGGGGCGTGGGCCAGAACCCGACGTGTGAATTTCTCTTGGAGGTGTGCACTGGGACGCATAAGGATATGCCCGTACTATGTGCTGATGTTGGAGGTGCACGTCCGACGCGAGCATAGAGTACACACACACATCCTATAGTACTTATACGACCACCCTTCGGGTGATAAGGAGGTAAGGGGAAGGGGGGAAAGAACAATCTGCTGGCAAATGCGATGGGTGTGGTGATAACGATGCTGGTGACGCGCCCTCGAGTTAGCGACGTCGCGTGATGACGATGTTGCGCTGCGATGTAATAACACTATCTTTCTCACTATCGATATCACTATCGATCTTCCTCTATCGAACTCACGACCGATCTCACAACCAATGTCACAACCAATGTCGCTGTGGATCTCAAGTTTGATATCATTAACCATCCCATTCGGGCGATCACATGGGCGATCTCACTATCGATTTCACAATCGATACCAGGGCGGGACATCCCGGCCACCGCCCGCCCACCGCCGACGGAACACCGACGGAACACCAACGGGACATCACAACGACGGGACACCCCAGGCCACCGCGCGCCCACCAGGGGCGGCGGGGCGGCCCATTGCATCCGAATCGCCCTAGCCACGGCGGGGTCATTCCTCTCGCGCGCCCACGCAGCTTCGCCTCGCCGCATGCACGACACGAACACGAATCCGAAATCGATTTCCCGGTGGGGGGCTCTCCGTTCCACCACGATCTCACTCAATCTCCAATACAGCTTCCCGAGCGGTATGCCAAGAAAGCGCCCGCCACGGAGATCATACAACACGAAGCTTGAGCGCGCGCGTCGCCCTTGCGGGGCCGACGCCCACATGGTGTAAGTACGTTAGGGTGATGCTGATCCACTCCCTCCCTGGAACCTGTTTGTCATCCTGACTCGTTTCTGACGGCCCAGGGGTCCAGGAGAGGCCTCCCGTCGACTACTTCCAGCCACCTACCATTTTTGTCACGGCGCGAGGGGGTTCGCGCCCAGAGGCCTTCAGAAACCTCCGGGGATCGGACATCCACACCCGGAGCTGTCGTGGGATGCGGGTCAGAAGTTCGAGGCGGATCGGGCCGCGGCGACGAGGAGCCCCCCTGAAGGTCCAAAAATGAAGCAGAAACGACCGATAAGGTGGAGTATCGATCCTCGCCGCCGCCGTCGTCTGGGAGAGCAAAAACCATCTCAGTGATTCGCCGTCGTGGGGAACCCGCAAGCATGCTACTGCTGAAGAAAAGAAGCACAAGACCTTCGGGCAGGAACGAAAGAATAACACGCCGACGGGCTCGAAACGACAGAATGTCATTGATACTGCAGACCCCGACGTCGTGATTTGCTGACACAACGAATCCCCGGACATCTCGACCCGTTCCCCAGGACCGGGTCTTCATCCCGCGCACGTTGTATTATAATCCCAGGGCTCGGCGTGGGCCCCCGAACGGCGGAAACGTGCCAAAAACTTCCCGTCGTGTTGTTTTCCCAATCAATGCTTGCACTTCGGGCATCTTACTTCTGTTCTAATGAACTGGCTTGGTTGGCGGTCTGGCGGCTATGTTGCCGCCGTCGCCGCCCCGCCGCCGCCTCGTCGCCGCCCGTCGAATGGGCGTGGCTGGCGGTCTGGCGGCTATGGTGCCGGCGTCGCCGCCGCCTCGTCGCCGCCCGTCGTCTGGGCGTGGCTGGCGGTATGGCTGCTATGTTGTCGCCGTCGCCGCCCCGTCGCCGCCTCGTCGCCGCATAGATAGCACAACATAGATTGTGCAACATATGTTGCACAACCTAGATCGCACCACACAAGATGCATCGCATATATTGCACATCGGTTGCACCTCATATATGGCCCCACGTCGGTTGCACCACATTGATTGCGTACCGCGTATGTTGCGCACCACAAAGTTTGTACCACATAAAAAGTACCACATCGACTGTACCGCATATATTGCACAAGGTCGGTTGCACCCCGAGAAATTGCACAAGATATCTTGCACCACATGTGTTACACAACATATTGCGCACCGCATGAATTGCTCCAAATATACTGGACCGCCATTACTGTTCCACACAACCTGCTCTCCCATATGCTGCACCACGCGGCCTGCACAATATAGATCGCGCAACACAACACAGGGTGTGATGTCCCCACATAACATGACAGAAACATATAGTTTGGGGTCCACGTTGGCTAACACTTGTTCTTTTCACGCCGCGAACAGGTCTGGGCTGCCCCCCGAAAAAAACCTCAATCCCTGATCGTAGCCGCCGCCACCGTCGGGGGCCAAGGAGCGGAGTTTCCTCGAGCGCCGCGCTGCTCGTGGGCAGCACCCGCACGAGGTAACGCTGGAGCTGGGCGTCGAACGCCTGATAAGTTCGGCCGAGGGCGGGTGATGCACGATGACACCAAAGAGCTCTCAAGCTGTGGTTGCGTAGTTGTTGCCACCTGGGTGTAAGACGTGTCTAACGAATTCGGGATTCGAGCATCGGTGATGTCGGCCCGCTCAGCAAACTACTCATGCAAAGTCTGCACAATCCCGCGCGTTACTGGCAACGATGCTCGGCGCAAATGCGATAGACTCAGTGTGCCTTGGAAACGATCTGGGCGTTTCTTTCTACTGTCCAGCTTTTGTGTATTGTGAGCCACCAGCGGGCACGTGGAAACGATTGAAAAACTGACCCTGGAAACTATCAAAGAACGTTTCACCACTTTCAGTTGGAAACTATATAAAAACGAGTCGGCGCAAGCTGGAAGCGATGAAGAAAAAGCCCCCTGGAAACTATAAAACAACGGGTTGGTAAACAAGCGACACAAAACGATCGTGCCGACGAAAATGAATACAGGGCGGGCGGCGCAACGGGCATCAGCAGCAACCAACAATAGCAGCAGGCAGTAACAGCAGGCAATACCAGCACCAGACAGCATAGGAGGAAGGTGGCGGCTGCAGCGGGCAGGAGGTGCAACAGAGAAGCTGTGTTAAGAGGGCTCTTATCGCGCGTTACCTGTCAGTCGCTGTCCGACCCACCGGAATGGGGAGTTGGAAACGCAATGAAAACGTATTGGAAACGGTCTCAACCAAGCAACTGCGACCCTTGGCCGATGGGCAGCGGAAACACTGAGGATGTCGCCGCCGCCGCTGGGGCCGCGCATGCGCCGCCGACGCCGCCATTCTGACACCGACGATGTCTCGGGCTCTGACGCGCACGGGGTCGGACACTGATTGACAGGCAACGCACGATAAGAGCTCAGAGAAGGCTTTTGGGGACAACGCATCGAACTCTTATCGCGCGTTGCCTGTCAATGCCGGACACAACGCAGCACGTTGCGAAGCGGAGTTGGGCAAGATGGAGAACGAAACTGGGAACTATAAAAAACGATCCCTTGGATTGGCGTTGGAAAAAATATTTGGACGCATCGCTGCGGAAACCTGGAAACGGCCAAAACAATGGGAGCCAGAAACTATTGGAAAACGTGCTTTTGAGTGACAGCTGTAAATTATAAAGAAGGCGAGGGGATTCTGGACAGATGGCGTCTAAGTGGCGCGGATTGAAATTTTCGGTCTTCGGGCGTTTTCGCTTGTTTTCGGCGGCATTCCAGCCTCTGGATGCTCTCCAGCGCGTGCGCCTCGCCAACAACGTTTTCGGGCATCCTGGATTGCCCCGAGCGGCCGTTGGAGGCCCGACCTGTGACCCGAAAACGACCAAGGGACCGGCTCACGGGGTAGAAGCAGTAAGAGACAGATCGCTGATAAATCGGCGATGGTCCCACGATAGCGAATCGTGCGTTCCTGGGCAGGGTGGGCTCGTGGACCCCGTCGGCGATCAATCGTACTTGGGGGTTGATGCGTCCACCCGTGAGACTATATGTTGTTGGCCAGCTTTTTTTCCAACATCCGCATAACAGCCCAACAAATGTGATGCATATTCTCCTTCTTCTCCTAGGCCAGGGGGTCTCTTGAAGAGGACCTTGTGCATGATATGTTCCTTCGTGTTGATCGACGGCATGGCGGTGATTGCGCGCGCGAGGGCACGCCCTTTTCCGACTACACGGGCCCAGCGAACGTTCCGAAGTCAGAATCGCCTACCACCTCCTATGGAGTGACAAAGTTCTTGAGCCAAGCGCCCGCAATGGCAAGCGGATGGGTGATAACATGACGTAATCTGAGTTACCGTGCGCGGAAGCCACAGGTCCTGAAGAAACGGTTCCGGGATCCAGGGGCACTCCCCCAGGGCCACTTTTTCACCCTGAGCGAAAATTTTGGGGGCGGCCCCCAGGCCTGGGAAGGGCCCCAGGACCTGCAGGACCCATTTCCCTCCGAATCCTTTCTTTCATGGTGACTGGGGCGCCCGACAAGTTGATGAGCAGACATACGGGTCGGGTAAGACTTGGCCCCAGACAGGACTGGTTTTCAATCCCACTGGGCTGAAGCCAGGAACCACCTCCGCTCGCCTGTCTCCAGGAGGTACCGACCTTGTATCTGACGGCGCTGCCTCCTCTCGGCAGCGAGCCAGGGGGGAAGTGAAAAGGGGTGGGCATTTTCAGAAGGCTCGGAAGGCCTCGGGCCTTCTGAACAGTTCTCTAAGCCTTCCCCGAAGACGCAACAAAAACTTCTCTCG